AGCACAGTGGAAACACCGCTAGTTTCACAAGTCTAGGACATCTTTACAAGAGTTGCTGGTATAAAATCACTCAAAGCATTTCAGCATTGCCAGCACCTCTCTCTTGTCACCTATGAACAAGTTTGAGCAACCATCATTTGTTGATCACTGGTTGATTTTCCCTGGCAACTTGTGCACAAAATATATTTTGGGTATCAGGAACATGGTGGTTGCATGCAGTTGCTCTGTAATAAGAAGTTGTCCCACATGAAATGAAATGGCAAGATGGCCACACTGTACTCACCTCATGGGCTGCTCCTCCCCGAGTGATGTCTCTAACAAATATCCCACACTTTCCAAGGGAGTCTGGCTTTTCAAAGACAGCAAAGCCAAGCCCTTTCACCCCCTGCACACAATATCAAGAAAGTACAGCCAGTAGTAAGTCCAACGACGCTAAATTTTACATAGAAATAGCTTTTACATACATAGATAGAAACAGCTTTCACATACATAGAAATAACCATTACAGATTCTATGGGTCAAATGTACTGATATTGAATGTTTTCCCCTAGTTCATGAAAGCCACGTGTACACACATGTATATGTAGCCTCCATCAGCGATCTATGAAGCATTTTCTTTTCCCCAGGAAATGTTTTGTACACTGTCAGATACTCCTTTTTGAACCAACTTCTGGTTTTGGGACAGAATTTTCAGTCCAGACTTTTATGTTTCATTCAAAGCAATGTAGCCTTGGCCAAGGCATTTATCATTGGCCATTCTTATAACCGACCACACTGTTGCTTGATCCACTGTACATGTACATGCCAGGCTGCTGCAGATGGGCTCGCTAACAATGGATCATGTGACAGTGTGGTTGGTTATCATACAGGCGGTCGTTGTAGAATGCCTCCACCAAGGCCAACAGAAAAGCAGCAACATGTCAAATGTCTCTGTTTCTCTCTACCTTAAAAGCCTTACCTTGTTGATTATAATGCTGTGCACATTTGGATAGGAAGAGAAATCATGTCCGGATTGTGTAAGGTCTGGCAACTGGAAATGTCTTTGCTGCACATTGAGATAAAATCAAAAGATTACTTAGATGGTCAAAATAACTGAATGGATTAGTTTTCAAGATGTATTTTTTGCATTGGGGAGATGTTAATTTATATAACAGGTTTTGCCCTTACCCCACATAGTAAGCAGGAGGTCATGGGTTCAAATCCCAGCCGAGTAAGCTTGCGTCTTTTTTCGCAAGCTCTCGGACAAGCACTGAGCATACAGTGTTTTTTAATATATAAGTTGGGTATGGGCAAAACCCGTTATATAACTGAATGGATTAGGTCTTAAACCCCAAAACTGAGAGCATTTAAACATCTTTCAAGTATCTTCAGTAGGAAGTATGAATTTGATTATGAATACAAAAACACGCATTGTAAATAACAGCAACATTTTTGTAAGTACTGCAGTACTTACATAAACAAAATGTGACATGTTCAACAGTCAGCTGACAACATGTCAAATAAAACTGCATACAACTTGTAAATGCTGCAGTTGAGTGCTGAGGATACGAATGGACAAAATACTTGAAGGGCAGTTTTACATCAGCAACTAATTTGTCTTTGGTAGGCATAACAGATGTTACTGCCAGGTGATCTTTTGCCTCTTAAACTTTTGTGTAAATAGCATAACAGGCAGCATACATACTACCAAGGAACCTTGCTATTATTCATGTGATTGACATGGGTACGTGGGTGCAACAGATGTAACAGCCATCTGAAAAGTTGCCTTTGGATCATGCTGCTATTTACCTTATCAGCAGGCGTAGGTGTGAGAGGTGTAACAGCCAACTGATCTATGGCTTGGGGATGGCGTCTGACAATCAGTTGCACGTCTCCATCCTTAGGGATATCTTTAATGATGGCTGAAGCTTTTTGATGAGATTTACCATAGACTGACACACCATTGATCTGTCATGGAAGGATTCCAATTGAAGTTAAGGATAGAATTTCCTTTCCCACATCACAGCACAGACATTAGTCAGAACTCGTACCAGTAAGCAGTGAAAACAGCAGGAAAAAAATCTTGACCAAAATGGAAACCGATTATTTTTATGCAGTTTTTCAATGTTTCCAAAAAAGTATCTCGGTATCATGAAATTCATATCACTGTCCCTTTAACCTGGACCTCTGTTACAAGTGCAATGATGCCATAGGATTTTCAACTAACACCACACAAAACAATGTACATAGGTTCCAGAATATCTCCAAGAAAACAACAGCCAGTTCAATAATTTTACAGTTTTTGTTTTCAAAAATGTCCATAAATTCTAAGATAAATGTGCTCTACAACCTGGCCCCTTCAGCTTGCAATGTATTTTGTTTTCCTCTATGTTCCCTGCAAACACCACCCTGTATGACTTGTCCCCTGCAATTTCACTACTCTGTCCTTTGAACTCAAGACCATATTCATTCAAATGAAGTAGCACAGACTGCATCCTCTAACTTACACTCAGAATCTCGTCAGCAATTTGCAACCGTTTGTCTTGTGCTGCCGCACCATCAGGATCCACACCCACTACAAACACACTTCTCTTGGAACGGTCTCGGTTACCAGCCAAACTACAATAAAATTCAAATACACATTTCATCAGAGTCCATAATTTAAGTTAAAATAACCCAAAGCAAAGCAAAACAAAAATCACAATGAACAAGAAATTATTTTGATTAGGGGGCATCTCTTACAGGTTTCAGTGAACCACATAACCATTTTCGTAAAGATGTAAGATTTACGGCACTCTTTCTATACAATCTTATCTGTACCACCACTGTTTGGGTACCAACCTGATCCCTAGGCCTCGTGATGACTTTGCTAGCTGAATGACTAGGATCTCACCTCCAATTCCAGCAAAAGCACTGTCCACTGGAAATAGCAAGAAACCAAGGCACCAGACATGGTTAACACAGCAACAACTAACCTATGATACTTGGCACTTGTGGACACAGCATTTATTCAGAGTCAAACAGGCTATTCCTTACATTAATCAGTGTCTCGCACATGAACATAAGAGCAGGAAGCACTCCCTGTGAAATGTGCAACCATTGCTTGTTTTGATATATCCAACAACCTCAATTATAAGAAAATGTACATGTACCTTCATTGGAGCTGCCATCTTTGATTTGATCTTCCTCATTCTCAGATCCACTCAAAGATAACTTATGCTGCAACAGCAAAGCAAGCATAAAGAGAGACTTATGATACATCCAAATAGATTAACAAGAGGCTACCATGGAGAGACCAGTATACAAAACACTCTGTAGGGAATGGTCAACACTGCATATACATCACACAGTATCCTTTTTCTACCAAGATTTAGCAGTTTGTACATTTTGGATACGCATGAGTTGAGATTTTTCTTTGTAAATTACTAATGAATTTATTTACAGGGCTTCATAAATCTTTACTTATTTATTGATTTATTTCTGACCATCCAACAGTGCATTTAGCATCAATTACAGGATGATAACGAGTGAAGAAGACAATGACAAAATATTCACTTTTAGAGGTGGGAGGAAAACCCTAAATACATGTAAATGTTTTGGGGAACCCTCAGACTCAAGTAACATCCACTCCACATGTGGACCGAGCCAGATTCGAACCCAGGCCCCCAGAGGTAGAAGGCAAGGAAAGAAACGCAATGCAAACTTGACTCCCATTTTTGTGTGGTATTACATATTAATGAAGAAACATGATCTTGGTTTTCTGCTTTTGAGAAAGATTCTACTAGGGTTGAAACATCAAACCCTACAACATTTTCAATTTGTTACTTAGGGTTGCTATAGCCAGCAAATGGTTTGAAGCAGTTTCATATCTAACATTTCTGAGAATCTAAATGATGCAAGAGTTTGATGTGGTAGTAAAGTGGTCTCTTCCAGTAAAAAGCTGGATGAGGTGCCACACTGTAAAGTCCAGTGACCAACACTTTCCCCGTAATAGATGATGAATACCCTTAACAGTCAGTGTAGCCGCTGGAGCTCTTAACTCCTTCGCGACGAAAATTTCTTTCCGAAAGCCGACTCCAAGAATTCCAGCCTTGCTTGGCCGCTAAGGCCACCTGCCAAACCGCAAATTCTCAGTTTGTGGCCCAGCGTGCTCTGCACGCTTAAAATTACACGGTGAAAAGGCTGATTGTCTGATGGCATGCGGCTCTACTCAAGCTTCCACATTCCCGTTGCCTCTTTTCAAAGTGGGGACTATTGTGAAGATGGTGATTATGATGCAAATTCGGTCTTTTCATTTCTGGACTACGCACAAAGACCAATTACCATATACACAAGAGCCAGGGTCTGCCTTCTTTCACCGTGTTCGCTCGAGCGAGGGCCAAGAATAATAGCTAAAAAGCGGGCTGAGGATCGCAATTTTTACGGCGCCTTTTAAAGCGTCCCGGCGTGATGGGGTTAAACCATCAGCTGAATGATCAGATAAACAGTAAATATTGAGACCTTACATTTAATGTGCTCGTCCTTTTTACCTTGATAGGTGACAGAGGTACCATCTGTGTGGAAGATGCCTCCTCTAATGATGTAGGGGCTGTCTTGGTCTCCTCTGTTACCATGGCAACCACCTCCTCTTCTGCAGGTGGGATAACAGACTCTTTTCCACTTGGCATCTGTTATAAGAATGAGCAAAACACAATGGCAGACCAAATAAATCTCTATTGAGCTGGTACAATCTCACAAAAAAAAGGCCCAAAAAATCAAGAACAAATAATCTGTCCATCTGAAGATTGTAAAATGTTTGTATTCAGTTTTTTCATTTTTTTGGAAAGGGCCTTCACATCAGAAAGAACGTTACACAAAAACTTCAAAATCTTAAACTTTTCTCAGTCGAACATGAAAAACTTTCTTCCCCTAAAACCAATCACTAACTATAAAATCTACAAAAATGATGTACCATACATGCTTCTTAAACAGTTATTATCACCACCTGTGGTGTTTCATTATGGTGTGCTGCAGAAGAAACAGTCTGTATTATGCCACAATGGAAACAATTAGTCAGTGACGGGTGCAGATAAGAGGGCATTGCATATTAGCTGGAATAGTTAAAAAAATGGGGTTGATGTCTTTCCTGAAGAGAAGAGATGCCACATGCAGCAGTCAACACTACATACATGTATATACACGTCTTCATGATAAACTTTTTAAGTGTAGGAGCATTTACACTTCAGCAATTAGACTCATCATAGTACATATTGAAAGAAACAGTGCATCCAGTGATTCCAGACCTGCAACTCAAAGGACAGTGGCAAGTCTACTGACGGAGGGATTACCTGTACAGGTAAGTAACGTACAGGTAATTAACATGCGTGCCCAAGTAGTGGTAATGGTCCACACTGCCATACTCACGGGGCAGAGTCACTTTCACTTACACTGTGATTTTTTTTACACCTTTTGTTACAGTTGTTAACTTCAGGGGTGTGAGTGGCCACTTAAACTTCAAGCTGAAAACAGCTAGCAAAAAGCTGAAATGTAAAAAAACTCCCATACGTTTGTACTGACCAGGTGTAAAAAAAGCTGAAATTCTGAGTCAACATCTAAACAAAAAAAAAGCTGAAATCAGCTAAAAGCTGAATTCTCACACCCCTGTAACTTGCAGTTTTGGCATAAAGTGTAAAGTAAGTAAAAGTTATCAATTCAATTCGATAGTGCAGTTGCATTTTTCACCTACATTGTACATGTATATTGTCGAAGTATCAGGTATTCTGAACACTATTTGCACAGAGCTGCCTATCTTGACTAAATGGTAGACAACGATTTGTTTTCCACATCTCATTCTGGTGGGTTTTGGTATTAAAGCTGAGATGACAAGAATCTTGATAACAGGGCTTCCATTCACAACACACAACAATTACTGCTGGAGAAATGTATACAGGTATGTAGCATTTCGTAACTGAGTGAATGAATTTAGACAAAATGCACATGTAGGTAGAGCTGCTCTCTACAACAAAACCTAAATTAATTAACTTTCCATGGATGCATACATGCCTTCACATTCCTTTACATTCTTAAATGGCAACAAAAATGGTCAGCTTTTGTCATGTTTATAAAACAAATTGTTTATAAATCAAATCTAAACAAAACATCTGAGAAAAATGCAGTACTTCTGACGGACAATTAGTTTTAAAAAATCAATAAATAAATCACACTAGCTTTATAATTCTTAATTGTAAACAGCTCAAATTAGGGATATGTTACACACAAACTAGAAGACAATGGTTGCCTGCCCCCCAAAAAATGAAATCCAAACACCACAGGGGAATCAAATATGCACACAGTTAATGCACACAAGGCATTTCCTATCATGCAAGTCAAAAGCCTAATAGACTGCCCCAACAGGTTGTGCAGGAAGGGTAACAACAGAAGTTCACAAAACAATATACAGTATTATAAGGAACTCAATGTGTATTAGTTAACAGTCAGTGGTAAATGGCACAGGGTAGGACAGACAGCCATTAAAAATAGTAACTAGTAATTAACAAATCATGCAAAAATGTATTGTTGCAGTAGAACAGGTGCCAGAATACCACAGCCACATAAAACAAGGCTGGAGACCACCAGAAACCAGACCATACAATGCTTGACTCAACAAGAAGCTACAGAAGATAGTGAATGGTATCAGTGCATAACAAAAGCAGCTACTTGCATTACATAGCACAGGCAACTGAAAGGAACAAAAAGCGATCAGGATAGCACCATTGTAACTGCTCCAACATGCAGGAAAACAAGCTGAAAAAAATGGTGACATCCTACCAGAAGCTAAGAGCACTGTGAGAGAAGAACACTACAAAGATGATGGTGATCTTGGCTAAACCAGGCATAGCAGACTGATGAAGGCATGTCCGATGGTACTCTCCCTTCACCTCTGCTAACTGACCTCTGGGTCCTTAAACTAGATCTCACGTGTTGCACTGAGGTGACCAACAAAATCTTGTACACTGAAAGAGGTGGCTCATTTCGGGGATTTTAAGGCAAAGGGAAAATGAGAACACGGATAATGATGAAGTGAAGTGAAATGAACAATATTTGCTTAATATGATAGGAATTGCAGTGTACATGTATATTGTAGACTTGCATACGTGTATTGGATGCTGAAAATAATGTTTTAACACATACATAGGTTTTCTTATGGAGGCATTAGGATATACATGTACATGTAAGTGTGTATACTACACACATGTAGTTTGTAACTCAACAATTACACATAAAAGTATTCAGCAAATATCCTGGAATACTGGTATCTATGTGTATTTACAATGCAACATTTTAAAGGCATTTCACTGATTGAAGAGATTTTATGAAAATGACTGTCTTAAACTTCAACATCTTGTATTCACTTACCGATGCTCAGATTTGTCACTGATGTACTGTGTGCTTTGCTGCCCCACCCAGTACCCTTTCTCAAAATGCCAACATCCCACTGATCAATTACAACATTCCAACTCAAAAAAATGTGTATAACAAAGTTAGGCCTTTTGTCAATGATTTCGTTCACTGTCTGAAACACCTTTTTTTTTTTTTCAAATGAACACTCCACGATCTCAGTTGTAAGATGTGGCAAGCTGATATGAAGATGTGGATTTTTTTGCATGACATTAGTTATGGCAACCAAGTGGGATGCTGCAAGTTCAGAGCTTAAAATTGTACAATTATTTTGTGTTACACTTGAGATTTGTTGTTTAATTAAGAAAATGAAATGAAGTATAACTACACAAGTAGGATTAAACAAAAAAATCTGATAAATAGATTTATTCAATGCAATCCCTCATAAGACTGTTGCAAAAGTAAACACCATCCACAAAACAACATTTCACGCTGATTATACTTGGAGGTTCCAGCTAAAAACTAGGATAATCCTCCAGCATTTCATGCAATTTGCAGGTGAATGGCAACAACATTCACAGCTAGATTCAAGTGACTCCGAACCCTATGACCACAATAAAATTGAATACTCTGTGCTAAATACACATGCTCTGAAATACTGACACAAGAAAAACAGTGAAATAAAATGTAATAAGACATAAGTAAATGGAAGTGCAAAATTTGTTAATGTATAAACAGGGACTTGCTTATCAACCAGGTTTCTATAGATTAATACTCTGTAACATATATTACTGATTACAGTAAGTATTCAAATACAAAGCAAACAAGTACCTCCTTCAACTGTATTTGATTTTGGAAGACACTCTGTACCAATGACGGAATATTTGTACAGGTTCCTCATTAAAAGGGATAAAATTTGAAGAACCAAGATTTTCTGCTGAATACTTTTAACTGCATTTACATCAAGAAAACATCAACTTGAAAACATTTTAAATATATAACCCTATAATATGCCTACAATGTAATACAACATAAATGATACATTTGATGATTTGTGGTGAAAAACTGTAATACAATGAATGAAATGGATAATATTGACATATATATATTCAATGTAGTGTACATAATCCTATACATTTCTTATTTGAATGAGTTTACAAACAATTTTCAGTGGCTAATGAGTATGTATAGGTGGAAAAGAAAACCTCCAATTTGTCATTTTTATGTACAGGTGCACTAGTACATGGAAATGAAAGTTGCATGTGGTATTTGGAAATGTGAAACAACCATGGTTGAAGTAAAACAGCTCGGAACTAGTCACAAACAATAAAAATACGAATCAATTGAATCTGGATTACACAACTTTTTCCAGACATGAATACTGTGCTAAGACAATTGTGGCCCCAATCAGATGACAACAGACCAGGGAGCCCTGATTGTCTGCTTAGTGTAAAAGAAGCATTTGCCTAAGCTGTAAACATGATTAGAACAAGATCTGACAAGGACATTACGTTTCCTCACTCACTTTGATACTGTGATGTCACTGTAACTGACAGGGTCTGTGTAACTTATTAATGCAGTTCTCGTAAATGCAACTTTATGTTCCCTTTAACCTGATTTTTTTGTTTGTCGTATCATTTTAAGGGCATTTCGGTTCCTTTTTATTTTCATGCTCAGAAAATTTGTACATACCGGTGCAAGTATACGAACAAGATTATGGTGCCACCCAAGGCAGAAACCTCAGTATCACAGCCACACTGCACTACAATTTGGGTCATTCTATAAATTTGGGGTCAAAATGTGTGGCATTTTTGAGTCCCTGTTACACCTGACCTGTCTAATTTGACATGGAAATATCACTGAAATTGATTTCAAACTATTTCCATTTGTCTGGCAGGTAATTTGCATGAAATCAGTACTCTTTGAAATTAGAGAATGTGTTCTTAACTTACAAAATCATGTCAGATGTGGTAGGGACACAAAAAATTGGACCCCTAATTTATAGAATGACCCATTTGTAGGAATTTGATATTCTTGGATGACTGTTGCTGATTCAGTTCTACAAGATGGGCGAGTAAGAAAAATTTCTCACAATTTCAATGAGCAAATTTTGGGTTATAAAATTTGAACAGAAAACTCTCAACATGAAAAGTGTCTTCCTTTTATGACATCACAGCAATGGCACCCTCAGTTGTCAGAAAGAGCATGGAAAATTTCAAATGTTTAAAAAGACTACTTTTCATTGAGCTTAACGAAAAAGAGATGCCAGATAGTTTTCTGACATTTAAGA